CAACACATGTAGAAGTTGTTTTATTTTGTTATAGTTTTAGTATGTTTAGTTTAAGCATTGGTCTAATGAGACTATAGGACGTATTGTATGGGCCACTGTTTGCATTGTGTGTTTTTATCGCTTTAGTGGTCGGCAAGATCAGTCTCTGGCTCTATAGATAACCCTAACTTATCCAGCAAGCTACCTCTGGGTTCAAATTTTCCCGGTGATCGGAGAAACCATTGAGTTCTTCAAACCTTACAATTCGACAAAATCCCTCCATTAGTCAAGAAAAGAATGTCAAAGTTGGTTTCAATTAAATATTTTCAGGTTTCAAGATTTTGTCCTCATTTCTCTTCTTTCTTCTTTGATTGTTTTTCTCTGGTTTGTGCTTCAGGCACGGTTCATTGTTCTGGATGAGTATCCTCGGTTCTAAGACCATTGTTTTGACAGACCAGGAAGTGAACATTGAGATTTTCAAACAAGATAACAAGTGTTCCTTTTTTGAATTACCGAGAACAAGTGTTTCGTCATGAGCTATACAAGGCAAGGACTTCCACATTTACATGAGATAGATTGCTCTAAAACTTCTCGGTCCCGACTCCCAAGTGTTTAAAGCAAAGATTAATCCACAAAATCCATCTAACAACTGGCGAGCATCTCAAAGCTGAATCATCCCAAGGCATCTAAGACGTCAAAGATACTATTGGAAGAGTATAACATCCCCTGAGTTAATCAAGAATCAACAAAAATGTTACTCACTTCTCTGTTTTGATTGCCAATGTTGTTTTTTGTGTTTGATTTACTGAAGTGACATCAAACCTGAAAGTAAGAGCAAACTTATAGAAAACTTAAGAGATTTCAGCCTTTATTTGGTTAGGTCTCCTTCTGATTCTTCTTTTTGGAAGGCTCTTTACATTGATCTTCTGGTAAGATCTCTTGTCCATTAATGTTTCATCTCGACTATTTGCTGGTTTATTAACACTCTGCATCCATTTATTTGATGTTAAGGCATGTAAAAATGCGATGAAGATGATAAAGGGAATGTTTAAAGAGAGGCGAGAAAGAGAAACACCTGATGAATTAATATATGGACCTCATGGAGTCATGGAGATAATGATAGATAAGGTGGAGAAAGAAGGCGAGTACTTGTAATTAATCTGGGACAAGAAATAATGATAATGATATCCACACAATAAAAAAAGACGAGTTTTATAACAAGCAAGATACTAATTTAAAGTTTTAGTATCCAATCCAAATTTGTAGAAAAGTTATGTGAAATCTATTGTAATACAAGTACAAAGTAGAGTT